TTTCAACAATTCTCATAATTTTTGCAAAAGGCTGTATTTCAAATCAATATAACAATATATATAATTGTATGAGGAAGTAGCTGATCCCATTAAAGAGTGCTCAATACACATAAAGTGTAGAGCTAGTTATATATATAATATCAAAGAGGCAAGATTTTGCTGTTACTCCGAGTTTCGTGCTACGCACTCATCAGACAGTATTTAATGATAAACATTCCTATAATCTAGATATATATACATGGTTGCGTTGGCGTTGTTGTCGGCGTTTGTTACTTTCATGTTATGTTTGTTGATAACTGTTTTCATGTTGTCCATACAGCTGTAGCTGACTTTTACGTTATTTTTGTTGAAGAGGCTGTGGTATTTATGCTGGTTCGGGAAGTGCTTAGATATGAGTTTCAGGAATGTTCTGCCAATGTTCGTCTTAACGTTTTTACTGAAAGGACATTGGCAGAACATTCCTGAAACTCATATCTAAGCACTTCCCGAACCAGCATAAATACCACAGCCTCTTCAACAAAAATAACGTAAAAGTCAGCTACAGCTGTATGGACAACATGAAAACAGTTATCAACAAACATAACATGAAAGTAACAAACGCCGACAACAACGCCAACGCAACCACCGGAGAACAATGCAACTACCGCAATAAAGACCAATGCCCGCTAGACAACAAATGCCTAACTACCAGTGTAATCTACAACGCGCAAGTCACAACCAGCAACAGAACCAAGAACTACATCGGACTGACAGAAGGAACATTCAAACAAAGATTCTCGCAGCACAAATCTACATTCAAACACAGAAAACACATCAACAGCACCGAACTTTCTAAGTACATCTGGCAACTAAAAGACAAAAAACAAGACTTCAACATCAAATGGACAATCATCAGCCGTGCAAGACCCTACAACAACATATCCAAACGATGCGACCTCTGCCTTACAGAAAAACTTATGATAATTAAACACAGTAACGACAATATACTAAACAAAAGATCAGAACTCGTCTCTAAATGCCGACACGAAAACAAATTCTACCTGAAGAACACTTGACACCTCTACAGCCTATTGTATTCACACCTACGCAGTTTTAATTAATAGTATACTCTCCTTTGTAATTTTTACCTTCACACCTATTGTTTCCAACATAACTATCACGTATTGTATGTAAATAGCCTAGCACTTAGCCTTTTGTTCTATACCATGTATATATATCTAGATTATAGGAATGTTTATCATTAAATACTGTCTGATGAGTGCGTAGCACGAAACTCGGAGTAACAGCAAAATCTTGCCTCTTTGATATTATATATATAA